GAATTCCCTAGCACAATGTAGCTTTGCTTTTCTTAAATTCCTTTTGGGAAGAAGGGGCAAATCTCATACTGCCCACTCATCATCCAGCACAAGCTCTACTTAGAAGGAGCAGGTGTGGAAACAATAGACAAGGGTAGAACTGCTTTTCTTTAAGATGCCTGTAAAAGGGGCCTCCTTTTCTACCATGTTATATCCACACTAACTTTAACTGTGTTAACTCCCTGCTTTGTGGAAAGCTAGTGACCACCCAGTTTTTTTGTCAGGGCTAATCACAGCTCTCACCTGGAAAAAAACATACACACTCCAGAGTAGTACCAAATAAATGCTCATTAACTGAATTACAATGTTGTAGGCATAGAGTTAGAGGGAAGGGTCTTTGGATGAAGGTGGTGATTTGAAGGAACATTAGGAAGCAGATTATTAAGTATCCCTGGAACCTAAAAAAAATCAATCAATCAAGCAACCAAGCAATGGGACCTAGAGCCAAGCTGGGTCTTTTTCAAATACAGACAATTTCTGGACTCCATCCCATAACATTATGATTCTGCACAAATGGGATAGGGGCTAGGAAAAATGTGGAAACCATTGTTTACCTTAGGTATCATTGCAAACAGGACAGCAGTCAGTCTTAGCCTTGACTAAGGACTGCCTCTTGCCTAAAATGATCATGTTTTTGACCCAACAATCAGTGAGTTTGTGATTAAAACCAATTCTCTTGGAAGTCTAGACAGAATTACGTGGCACAAACCACAAGCTCTTACTTGGCCTTCTTAAAGGCAACCTGTTATCTGTGCAGGATGTAATCATCTCTGGTTTCCATCTGTGTCCATTTGGTCACAAAACAAAACCACCTGTCTTAGCCTGGACTTGTTGATGCAGGAATCTACCCAACAGAGGCAGAAACACACCTGTGGTGATGGAACTCTGCTGCCTAAATCCATATTGAGATTTCAAGTGAGTTTTTCTCTGCTTACCTTAAACCACTGTACCAAATTTAGAACCCTATTGGAAGATCATTTTACATGCACAGATGTGATTTCCACTATAATTGTCCAGTTTCGATTTCAAAGCCCTTGGGGTAAAAAATGAAGATGTATATCTTAGCTTGGGTTGCCATGACAATATCACAGACTTGGTGGCTTAAACAACAAAAACTTATTTCTCATAGTTCTGGAGTCTGGGAAGTGTAAGTCAAGACATCAACAGAGCTGGTGTCTTTGAGGACATGTTTCCTGGCTTGTAGACAGCTGCCTTCTCTTCTGTCTTCACATGGATGGGTGAAACAGAGAAACTGAGAGAGAGAGAGAGAGAGAGAGAGAGAGAGACTGACCTTGACAGAAAAGGGCAACGGGGAGGGCCAAAGGGAGGGGAAGAACAGAGAAGGAAGAGGAACAGAGGAAAGACCCAGGTAGGAGTTCCTCCTGTTGAAACCAGGAGATCCAAGCGTACAGATGACTGAGGCCAGAAACTGACTACATACAGAACCCCAAAGACTTGAAATATCTCATTGACAACCCCACACCCACAAATTAAAAAAATAACCATGGGGCGCCTGGGTGGCTCAGTCGGTTGAGCGTCCGACTTCGGCTCAGGTCATGATCTCACGGTTTGTGGGTTTGAGCCCCGCATCAGGCTCTGTGCTGACAGCTCAGAGCCTGGAGCCTGCTTCAAATTCTGTGTCTTCCTCTCTCTCTCTGCTCTTCCCCTCCTCACATTCTGTCAATCACTCTCTCGAAAAATAAATAAACACTATTTTTTTTTAAATCATGCATGAGTCCCTTGGTGTGTGTCCCTCTATCAAAGACTCTGAGGTTCAGTTTTGTCAAATCTGAAACTATGAGGAAATGGTGAATGCTTAAAAGTCTGCTTCCTTAGGAGGAACTGGAATAGTGCCCATCAATGACTGTCCTGTCTCTATCAGATTGCACTTTCCTGGTACTTCCTCAGCCCTCTATATGCCTCACTTCACTGCAGGGTTTTGGTATTCAGCAGCAGCCCTTCCTAAGGGAAAAAGGAGAGTGTGGTGGGATGTTGAGCTAATGACATTTGTAATGCTTGTTTGGTGCCAGAATGAAAGAGAATTGCCCCCAAAATGACAAAACAGAGTTCACCTACTCACCACATAAGCACATAATAAAAACACTTGTCACTATCTTAAACTCAGGGACATTCAGCTTTATGTAAAAGACAACTATATACCAAAGGAACAATTTTGAGGTGAGTAGGCAGTTTTACAACAATTTCTAATTCCTCTTTATCCACATGTAATAATACTAACTTATTTCTGGGGAATGATTGAGTTTTCAGGGCACCATCCATGCATTATAACATTCTGTACACAGAGAAATCCTCTAAGGTAAGAAAAGAAACATTATTAAACCACACTTGGAGATGAAGGACATCAGAAATAAATTGACAAAGTGAGAATACATATGTATAACACTACGTATTATAATGTATATAAATCAATTATACATAGTTCTATATAGAGAATATATATATTCTCTATTACATTGCCCTATGTGTGCATAGATTGGAGAATCCAACACCTGAGTTTGTCACAGAAAAGGCTTAGAGAACTTGAATAAGCTAGGCAAAGTGTGTGATCTCTCAGTTCACTTTTTCATATATAAAAACAGAAATGCTACCTCATATATGGAATGTTATAAGGCTTAAATGAAATATTACCAAGGAGCTATTTCATGGTAACTTTCTTCCCAATATTTAAGATTCTTTCTCAAAAAAGAAGTGGGTGGACCAAGGTCCAAAATTCAGAATTTCTGATTCCCATTCTGGTATGTAGTCCCTCCTACCAGCCTGCTTATGCAAATAAGTGATGCTTACATTTGAGCCAATGACTGATCTTTCTCCCAAATAGTTATAGGCTGAACATTTTAAGTTACTTTCATCTCCATAAGAATGGTGATTCTGTATAAGACGCATTTTCTCTTTCACCATGTGCTTGAAGAGATAGACAAATTAAAAAAAAAAATGCTAATAATTACTGTGGAAACCCTAACACCACACAGTTTCTGAACTTAAGTCTGGGTCATTCTGATTGTGGGTCAGCTTCCTATCTGTCTTCTTCTATTATCCGAGCTTACCATTGCACTATGGAGAATCCACTTAACAGTCTGAGAGAACTAAAAGCTTGCCCACCTGTCTCACCATTGTCTGAGAAAAGAAAAATAAATACATAGATAAGGTCACTTAAGAGCAAAATTTTTCCTAACATTGACTTCAGAATAAGTGTCCAGTAAGAATCTGTAGGTAAAGGTTAACATGATCTCATACCATGGTCACACAGTGCTCAACTTTGGTTTCTCAGAGAACAGGGAAATGATCTCTACAAGAGTATCTCATATCATCAGTCTAAAACCCAGAGATATTGTCAAAGGAAGCCAAAGTAATTTCGTATGAACCTTCTCAGCTTTTGCAACCTGACACTGTAGTTTGTTATTTAATACAGAAAATCAAGTGAGCAGGAAATTGCAAAATAATAATTAATTTATAATTAATAAGTTATAATAATTTATAGTATTTATAATAATAAATATTATAGATGTGTATTTGTTTAGTTTTTCCCAAATAAAATCAGAGTAATTTTTTTAAATTACAGTTTGCCAACTAGAGTTCTTTTTATAAGGATACACGTAAATCATACAGTTGCTTGTGATGGTTATTTGAGATTTTCAACTTTAGATTTTTCTTTCTTTTCCTTTCCTTTTCTTTTCCTTTGCCTTTTCTTTTCTTTTTTTTCTTCCTTTCCTTTTCCTTATCTTCTTTCTTTCCTGTATTTTTTTCCTTCCTTCCTTCCTTCCTTCCTTCCTTCCTTCCTTCCTTCTTTTTTCTTTCTTTCTTTTTCTTTCTTTCTTTCTTTCTTTCTTTCTTTCTTTCTTTCTTTCTTTCTTCTTTCTTTTGAGTGTAGAGAGAACTTGAAGTGTTTGCAAATCAATCTGGCATAACCAAGTTTGGAAAAAACCTACAACTTACCCTCAGTAAGAGGTCCCTCAATGGTTAGACCTAGTTATAAGTATTCAGCATTCCATGGAATCCAGTTAATGCTTTATTCAAGGGAAATTAGGAGTATTGGTCAATCAAGGAATAAGTTAAGTAGAGGTCAGTTAAGAGAGACTCTACTGTGTGTCTTGTGTCTATTAAAAAAATTAAGAATGTACAGTTAAAAATACTCCAATTACATCTACTAATATCACCATGTCAAGCAAAGTCAGAGATGAGTTCTCCCACGAGGCTTTAAGCACTGATATTTCATATTGCCTCCTGTGAGGAGATCCTCATGTTTGAGATATCAAAGATTTGGTGCATATTCTCTGTTAGGGGAGAAGCATATTTCTCTAGAGATGGGATGTAGGCTTGCTTTGGGGCCAGACCAAACAGTTTCTCAAAACAAAACAAACAACAGTTCTTTTAATCTGCCTGTGCACTTTGGAAAGTGCTAGAATATGACCTCAGAATTTTGAGTGATAAGAAAAGAAGAAGTGCTTTTACTTTGAAAATTTTAAGTGTATGTATGTCTCGTTTTGACCCCACTCAACTCTCTGAATGATCTATCTAGAGTCTAAAAGGTCTGCTTTTGAATCAAAAGAGCTTCATTCTGAAGAGGGATGGTCCTTACCAGATACAGCTCAAATTATGTTTAGGTCAACCACGGTGTGATTCATGTCCAAACTGTGGAAAATCACTCTCCACCATGTTGTCAGTTATGCTTGACGTGGTATTAAATATTTGGAATATGTTGGCCATCTGAGAGGTAATATATAGTCCAACTTTGGATTTGAAAACTGAGGCATTCATATGAAGACCTATTTCTGTGCATGTGACACATGCTGATAAACTTTTAACACTGGTTTTGGGATCTGTTCTGACCATTACCACATTTATTTTGGAGGGCCTTTTGTCTGAATCATTAATATTCTTCTTAAAAAATACACAGGAATGATGTGACTAATGCTTCTCATGCATCTCTTTTGCTTCTGCAGGAGGGATTTTTGAAACTGTGGAAAACGAACCTGTTAATGTTGAAGAATTAGCATTCAAGTTTGCAGTCACCAGCATTAACAGAAATCGAACCCTGATGCCTAACACCACGTTAACCTATGACATCCAGAGAATTAATCTTTTTGATAGTTTTGAAGCCTCGCGGAGAGGTAACTATTTTATTTTCCAATTTTTCGAAGCTTTTTTGGGTGATGTGTCTGCTCCACAAGTCACCGTTTTTGCTACCTGTCCTTTGTCAGAGTGGACATCTTTGTGTAAATGGGTTGCAGGAAATCTCGGTCCTTGATGTCACTGTCCAGTACAATCTGAAGGATCCTAATGGATGTTGCCTAGCTCTGTTTTCTGGGCCATTCCGATTAGCTCACCCTTCAGTGCCCTCCACTCTATGATTAACTGGTTCAGCTGTGAATGGAAAATGTCAAGCTTGATCTGTTTTTCCTTCCTGAGGCTGAGATACCACCATGAAATTGTACAGCACAGTCAAATAAAACTTCGTGGAAGGTCATATCCACCGAGCATGTGGAAATGTCCACAACGCACATAACTCACACCCTGAATTTTAACAGGTTGTAAACTACTGGGTTTACCTAGGATTTTCTCAACTTTTTTTTTTTTAAAGTCCTTTTCACAAAGTCATAAAAATATAAAAATTAAACCTAGGAGACAATCTCTGCATTTTTTTTTCCTGATTCTCTTTTTCTTCCAAGAAGACAAGGTCCTAAAAAGTAATCTACTTTATACATAGGCTGCAAGGTTTCTGTCCTGGAAAGAGCCGTTGGGATTGTGGGGCTTGTTTAGATGTCCCCCAAACACTCCTGAGACTACTCCAAAGTACAGTCACATTCAATACACTTGCAACTTGGCCTCTAACCAGGGAGCTGTTGAGACTCCATGCAGGTGTTATTGTGGACACCAAGGCCACTCAGCAACCTCCATAGGAGAAGAGGCTTTTTCCCTCATAGAGGAATGTTTTGCCAGTTAAAAACACACAAATAAATGGAATGTAATGAACACCATGGTTGTGCCGATTTCCAAGGAACTAATATTGGTTGTTCCACATAGAATTAACTCAGCATCATGAGATGTGTGCACCTTACACACTCTTCTGCAGGATTCCTAGTGCTCTTTACAAACAAAAGGTAAAGTGTTTTCCTAGCAGCACAGATGAAAAGCAAACAGTATAATGATTCTTCTTCTGATCGATGGCATGACCTTAGTATAAGAACATTTTCTTTTTAAAGATGGATGGAATTGCAGATACTACATAGGTCAGCGTTACCTATGAACAAATAATAAAATTCTATTTATACAGCTCTTCAAAGTCATCTTCACATAAATTATTTCTATGGGTTTGATCTCTCTCCTCCTCTGCCTCTCTCTGTCTGTCTCTGTCTTTTGATCTCTGTCTTTATCTCTGTCTGTGTCTCTCTGTCTCTGTCTTGGCTCTCTATCACACATGCACACACAAACATTGCTGAGCAAATACCTTAGACAGGCAAACACATTTAACAATGATACTTCAACCCACATAAAACTGAAAGCTTTTCTGTGGTCTCAAGTACCTGTCATACTTGTAAATTAAACACCCCCAAAGCTTCTTAAAACTGGTAATTTGCTGGCAAACAGAATTCAAAAAATTGATTTTCTGTCAAGTCATATTAGCATCCCAGAGCTAAATATTAGCAGGCATCTCAATCCATCGCCCATGTTAGACAAAACAACAGTTCACACATTCTCATGCTCTCATTTTGTTACCAATGAAAACATATCCAGGAAATGAGCTTCCATAGACAATGGCAATTTACACTTACAGCACTTAATGCAGAAAATTATATGTCTTCATATCTCATGTAGTAATTCAGTGCCAAAGAGCACAATACGAGAAAGTTTTTCCTTGTGAATGACTGTAAACATTTGCAGTACCGTAGATATTTGAAATATGGTTTTCAAAATTTTATTATTTTTTTCTCTCTAGATCCAGTCAGATCATTTTGACAAAGCCATATAATTTTTCTACTTATTTTTATTTGTAGAACAACATTACTATAAAAATTAACACAGTTTCATTTAAAAATTTTGTTATTAATTAATTCAAATATTTAATTATTATCTCTTGGGAGTTCCAAACTTTTTAAAATTAGCATTAAAATAATGAGATACTATAAACTTCTATATAATGCCAGCATAAATTTATATCGGCATGAAGAGAGTAGACCCTATTTTGCATGGTTGTAGAGGATAACTGGTCCCAATCTTTCTGGAAGGGAATTTGCCTAATATGTATCTAGTAATTTAATTATAGCTGAGAATCTACTCTAAAAAAGTAATGTAAACTTCAGAGAAAAATATAACAACTAAATACTATAATATTAGTTATAATAATAAACGTTAGGATCAGCTTAAAGGTTCAATATCATCAGAACAGTAAAATAAATGATGACATAGCCATGGAATCGGCTATTCTACAGGCACAAAAAAATATACTTTCGAAGACTCTGTAATGACTTGGGGGAAAGGGTGTGTTTTTAGTGTTAAATTCAGTGTTAAAGAAAGCAACGTATCAACCTATGTCTGCAGAGATTCAATTTTTTATAAGTTGGAATGCCAAAATATGAAGAGGTATTATTCCAAGATGATGGAATTATAGGGTCTTTTTTTTTCTCCCTTATGCTTTAAAATACTCTAAATTCTCTCAATGAGTATATAAAATCTTATAAAGAGAAAACCAAATAAATGTTATAGATTAAATTTTATACTGACTCGATTTCGTTAGGCTGATGCTGAAACAGGGAGAGGCCTGTCCTTGAGCTTGGCCCCTGGCCTCTGGTAGAGTTCCGCCCTTACCTGGTGGCCCTGACTCACTTCACGGTCTATGGTATTAGTGGGTTGGACCACGTGGCTTCTGAGATCCCTTTAAGCTATGTTATGTTAATATTCTATAATTAAGTAGGTATCAATATCACTTACTATTCCTTAGCAGTTTTTCAATAGCCTGGAATCCCTTTCTGAGTTTTGGGAAGATGGCAACTGAAGTGCTTTTGCCGCCACCCGGAGAATCTTCTGAATTCTCTGACCACATTAATATCCTCCTTGTCACCCTGCCATAGGACAATACTTCATTCACATGACATTCCCTTGGCCAGTAGCTTGTAGAGCAGCTCTGAGCCCCCGTGGGTTACGCCATGCCAGGCAAGGGATTTAGAAGTAATGGTGTGAGAACAGCCACTTATTTTTGATTGCACAGAGTTGGCCCTGTGATGTGTTGCTAATCAGTTCCACATTCAAATATCTCAATATTTTAGCATCTCGGGGATATTGGAAGTTGGATGAAGCATAATTTCTCAACATACAGATGGAGAGTGGAGAATTTCCAGTAATGAAAATAAAAAGAGGGATCATGGAAGGAAAGATGGAATTCACAGCCCTCTCTCTCTCTCCCCCCTTCCCTGCCCTCCCTCTCAACCCCTCCTCATCTGTGGCCACTAGCCTGCGACCAGCTGGCTCTTGGTGTGGCTGCTCTCTTTGGCCCTTCCCACAGTTCCTCTGTCAGCGCTGTGCAGTCAATTTGCAATGCTCTCGAAGTTCCACACATACAGACCCGCTGGAAACACCCATCGGTGGACAACAAAGACTTGTTTTACATCAACCTGTACCCAGATTATGCAGCCATCAGCAGGGCGGTCCTGGATCTGGTCCTCTACTACAACTGGAAAACAGTGACAGTGGTGTATGAAGACAGCACAGGTAGGGGACTCACACAGGAACCTCGCCTGGCCATGTCTGGTCTGAACAAAGGGAGTCGGAGTGTTCTAGAGGCATTAACTCATCAGGTGGAGTATGTGAAAATGCTCTTTTTTATGAGGTGAATGGAGTATTCTAATTTGAGAATGCCATACGTCTCCATGTCTATCTAATTCCTGTGGATCCTTTCTGATGATCCTTCCATCATCATATTTAAGGGGATGTTTTAAAAGAAATATCACCTTATTGATATTAAAGATGTGATTTCATTTCTCCCAACTCTCTTAAGACCGTGACCATGACTCCCTTCCTTAAATAATGCAGAGAAAGTTGGAAAATTACTACGAAGTATGCTTTCAACTTGTAAGTAACTGTGTACATGTTACATGTTAGAAACGTTTCTAAAGGAGGTTAACGAGGAATCCAGTTAGAGGCTAACTCAGTACAGTTGCCCATTTCATGGGAAAGGGACTGAGAACCCCCAGTAACAAACCCTTAATAAAGCTTGCATTGTTCCACCTGTTTATTTTAGGATCAGAACAGAAATGTGATGCTTGGAGCCCCCATCTCACTAGACACGTCCTCTGATCTGCCTTCATTTCAAGTTTCTTTGGCCAGCACCTTTCCCCTCTGTCTTCTTGTCACATTTCAAAAGGACTGAGGATCCCTTTTATTCAGTTAAATTCTGCTGGTGACTCTCCTTTGTCAAGTCTTTCTAGTTTAAAGATGTTCACCATCTCGTCCCTTTCATCTCCATTAACCCCAGCACTGTCTTCCCTGCACTCCCTGTACCTCACATCAGCTAGGATGAAGAGTCCATCATTCCTTACCCCCAACTTCATCTGAATCTTTTTTTCTTTTTTTATTGAAGTATAGTTGACACACAGTGTTACATTGGTTTCAGGTGTGCAACATAGTGATTCGACAGGTTTATACATTATGCTGTGCTCACCACAAGTAGGTGAGCCACAAGTAGGTACCACAAGTAGGTACCATCTGTCACGATACAACACTACTACAGTGCCATTGACTATAGTCCTTATGCCGTGTTTTTATTCCTGTGACTTACTCCTGTGACAAGTCTGTACCTCCCAGTACCCTTCACCCATTGTGCCCATCTCCCTACTCACTCACCTCCCCTCTGTCAGCCAGCAGATTGTTCTCTGTATTTATGGATCTGTCTGCTTTTTTGGTTTGCTCGTTTGTTCATTTGTTTTGTTTTTTAGATTCCACATATGAGTGAAATCATATGGTATTTTTATGTTCTGTCTAACTTATTTCACTTAGCATAATACCCTCTAGGTCCATCTGTGTTGTCACAAATCCTGTTCTTTTTATGGTTGTGTAATATTCCATTATATATACACATACACATCATCTTTATCCCATTCATCTATTAATAAATACTTGGGGTGTTTCCATATCTTAGCTATTTTAAATAAGGCTGTGATAAACAGAAGAGTACATATATTGTTTGAATTATCATTTTCATCTGCTTTGTGTAAATACTCAGGAGTGGAATTGTTAGCTCATACATTTCTATTTTTAATTTTCTGAGGAAACTTCATACTGTTTTCCATGGTGGCTGCACCATTTATATTCCCACCAACAGTGTATGAGGGTTCCTTCTTTTCCTCATTCTCACCAGCATTTATTATTTGTTTATGTTTTTGATACTAGCAATTCTAACTGGTTTAAGGTAATGTCTCATTGAGGTTTGGACTTGAATTCCCCTGATGATGAGTGATGTTAAGCATCTTTTCATGTATCTGTTGGCCATCTGGTTGTCTTCATTGTAAAACTGTCTATTTAGGTCCTGTGCCCTCTTTTTTTAATTATTATTATTGGATTACTTTTTTTTTTTTTTTTGGTGTTGAGTTGTATAAGTTCTTTATATATTTTGGTATTGACCCCTTATAAGAGATTGCCTTTACAAATGTCCTCACCCATTCAGTAGGTTGCCTTTTTGTTTGGGTAGTGGTTTCCTTTGCTGTGCAAAAAGTTTTTATTTTGGGATAGGCCCCATAGTTTATTTTTGCTTTTGTTTCTCTCCTCTGAGGAGACGTAATATGTCTGACTCTCCTTTTCTGAAGCTGGCCCCTTACTACGGGTGATCCTCCCTCTACCCCAAAGACGGTGAAGTCCCTCATTCCACATGCTCTCATTCAAATATCACTTCTTCCTTAAAGCCCACTGGGGCCACCAGAAGGTTCAATAGCACTTCATAAATATAAGCATTATGTTACATGTTTCAATTACCTGTTTGCACATGTAGGAGAATAGGAATTCCTAAACATTGGAAGTTTATCTTATTTATTTTTATAATCTGCCACCTAACACAATTATGGCCTATAGGACTATTTAAGTATTACATGTACAAGGCATAATGCTGTTTATTTTCTGCATATTTTTTCCTCCAAGGTTTAAAATTAGCTCCTTTCTTGATCTACACATTTGGTAATAAGGTTAAGAAAATTATTAGTGAAAATTAATAACGCAAAGCACTTACCAAGTTTTTAATAGTATTTCATTTTTCACTGTCCTTTTCACCAAGCACTGGCACTTACTACTTATCAGAGGATGATAGTAAGCCTCCTCTATTTTGCACTAAACTCTGGTTGCATTTTAAGTTGCCAGATAAAAGTGACTCTTACGGTTGGAAATATGCATTAGATATTTTCTTATACCTCATCTCATTTTAGAAAGTGAAGGTAGGTTATTGGATATATAACTTACAAATATTATATTCGAAACAGTCCTACAGGGAAGTATAAGCCACAGGCAGTCATATTCTTAAAGCTTCATCTGCTTGCTGGGAAGAAAGAAACGTACTATCAAAAAAATTCCAAAAGCAGATTTTAAAAACCTTGAGATAGAACATTATCATGTGTAGGGGTGGGAAAGTTTCCACTTCTTCCCTTCGAGGATCTTTGACTGGTCAAGCAATGAAATTGACATGAGACATATTAACAGGAGAGAAGCAAAGTTTAATAAGATGTATACCACCTATAAGCATGGGAGAGACCCAAGAAAACAAAGTTAACTTACTGAAATGGCCTAAGCTATCACCTTAAAAACCACCTTTTGCCAAAGATGAAAGATGTTGGGGGTGGGGAATCAGGTATGGGAGATTATCAAAAAAAGCACAGTGAACAAGGGCAAGATTATAATGCATGTTTAAGTCCCTGCCTTCTCTGTTGAGAAGAATTTCTAGAGATTGAGTCACCCCTCTCTTTCTGGTACAGTAAGGGAGTATCTCCCTTACAAAAAGGTTTCTTTTATGCATGTAACCGTCTCTTACAAAAGGGCAACATCTACTCAGATTTCAGAGCTTCATCTGCACCTGCTGTTTCTTAAAAATAAACGTCTTAAAAAAAATCCCCATGCCAATGGGACACATTTTGCCTGGCAAATTCTGCTCCCCTTCAATTATAAATGTAAGTATAGTCTGATCTTTCATGTTGCTTACCTTTGTAAATAGATTATCGCATGAGCTAATAAAGTCATACTATTTCTCATTATGTAATACACTCAATAGTACAAATTTTTCTCACGATTTCTACCATCTCCAGCAAAGCAGAGCCATCTAGAAGGAACACAAATTGATGAATGACATTAAAACTTTTGGATTTAAGAGCTCAACTAAAGGCATGAGCATAATATTATAGATTTCAAATTATATTTAGACAAAACCTAATTTGTAAACGGAAAACACAGAAATTGATGTTCTAACCAACCTTCTGATTTCAGGTAAGCACCCAGAAGTGATGGGCATTTTGCACAGGAGGAAACTCAATCCTTTCTATCATTTTTTTACAAGAAACTGAAATCTGGTTTTCATCCTTATTAAGTTCACCTGAGCCCAGTTGTTCAATAAATACTTGCCAAAGTTGAAAATCCCAAATGAATTTGTATGTTGCCCATTAAGTTAGAAATGACTCATGTTAAAATGATTTTACCCACAAAGAAATTAAAAATGTAAATGAATAATCAATTGAGCTATTAAATTGGAACCCAGAGAGTAAACAGGTCAACTGAGATCAATAAAAGCAGGCATCTTTTGCCTTTGAGTGGGTTTAATACTGCTTGACTCAGGGTTTTGGTTGCAGTAATTATCAAGACATAAAAAGGAGAAAACTTACTAAACCTGAAGGAAAAGAAAGGACTTAGGTGTGCCCAGCACCCACCCTCACACCAGAATTAAGTACCCATTAAAGAACACTTTATTGGGATTTGTTTAGGAGTTTGTTAAATAGCCTGAAGCCAGCACAGATGTCTGGGGGACCAAATGGCCCATGACTCCCATTGAAGTCAAGGGGAGCACTGTGCTGGTCTCTAAGGACAAAATTCAATTCAGTAAATACTAGAAGGCAGAATTCTGTCCTCTGGAAGTGAAAATGTAGAAAGACCCTAGAGAACTGTTGAGGGAGTGAAGTTGTGTTTTGCTTCATCTCTCTCTCTCTCTCTGTTGCCTGGATATTCCTCCCATCAGTCACCTAGTTCTCTCTGATTCCCACATTCAGAGGTGACCCTAGGCAGTGAGAAATTGCTGCTCATTGGTCATCCCCTCTGCTTCATTATACCCCTGGTGGAAGCCTGGTTTCTGTCCCTCACACGCATCAAAAAGAGCTGAGAAGCTGAGCACCAAATGCAGTGTGGAGGATATTCAGCAGTTTCTGCTTTTTCAAGGCCAATCTCAGTGAAATGTAGCCACGACTATTTTGCAGAAAAGGGGCCGGCAAACTTTTTGTCTCTGATGGCCAGATAGCATCTAGCTTAAGCTTTGTGCGTCATAGGGTCGTGACTATTTCACTCTGCAAGGTAGCAAGAAAACAGCCATAGATGACACATGTAAATGAATGAGTATGGTGTCTTCCAACAAACGTTTGTTTATAACAAAGAAGGAGGCCGGTGTGGTGGGACCAGCGTGAGAGGGGAGGGATAGTGGGAAACTAGGTCAGAGAAGAGCACCTTATGGATCATGGAGGATTTTATAGACCGCA